CTCCAGACTTCTTTATCTTTGATACGGCTCCTCGTTTTCCCGGTCATCCTCAAAGCGCCACGGACGGTGGTGAAAGGGAAATCAAAACAGAGTTGGTGTCACTCAGAGAGCGTCTAGAAAGGACCTGGGAGGCCATGGAGGGTGACTTGTGCATGTCCCAGCCGAGGGGATCTGACCTGTTGACCTGGTGAAGTCATCCAGAACCCCTGCCGGAAACGGGGTGTATTATTGGACCCCCTACCCTAAAACAACTCGTGATTCCTTAAGGCCAAATATTTCCTGAGTCAAATCAGGGTCAGGCACAATTCTCTCCAGGCGGCTGGTAACAACCTCGTGGCTTCTTGTCCTTCACAAGCCCATGATTTTTCCTCTTCCTTGAAACACTCTCGGGGTTACCCTGAATCTGCATCTCCCGAATTGCCGTTATTAAAATAACTAAGCCCTCTTGTGATGTGCAGCCCAATCAGGGGCAGCAAAGGCAAAGGTCTCCCCTTCCTGCTCCCCCCCGCCACCGCCCCCCAGCCCCGTGGACACAAGATTCCCGCGCCGCTGGCCTCACCTCATCCGTTGACTCTGGGCCTGGAGAGGAGGCCGCTGACAACATAGGGCGCAAATACCCCGAAGGAGCGCTCTTCTGTCTGACACTTTCCCGGGCTCCTGGGAGATGGGGTACGTCACCAAATGCCCCAAGGTTACGCGGACAAGGTAAGGACGCCACCCCCCGCCCTGGGAGTGTTCAGGTCCCTGCGTTTGTCAATAGGAGGAGGTGGTCAGGGGTGAGTCGTCCTGTGCTGGATGGGGCGGGAGTTGTGAGCTTGCAGGGAGAGGAAGGTGCCCACACTCTGCCCCCGCCACGTGTCTGATGTCTTGGTTTGTTGCTTGTTTTCTGTTTGGGGCTGGGAGTTATTAACGGTGCGGTATGATGGGGCCAGGGCAGGGGCACCTAAGTGTCCATCGATGGTGAATGGATAAAGAAAACATAATCGAACTCAACCTTCAAAAAGAAGGAAAGCCTGCCATTTGCAACAATGTGGAACAGCCTCCTTGAGCATTGGTGCTAAGTGTGATACACCAGACGCAGGCAAACACTGCGGGGTCCTACCTAGCACCACCACCCTCGGACACGCACCTTTATGAACACTGCCAGTTGTCCCTAAACCCAAAGGCTGGGCTGAGGTTAGAAACCCTGGAAGCCAGGGGCAGGTAGAGCTTGGGTTTCCTTTACTTCAGTGGTGAGAGGCAGGCCATTTCTTCCTCCAAATCTTGCACAGATGGAAAGACCTGGCAACATCTACTGTAGCTCCTCTGCTGTAAGGTAGAGTTACAAAATCCACTACCAGCCTTTTCTTCTCCCGTTAGTCTAAGAAAAATCTGAAAGGTACATACACTTTAATCTCTTCCTCCACAGATATGTGTGTATATGTAAATATACAGTAATTTCATTTTATATGATACTCTTAATGGAAACACTACTTTTACAAAATGAGCAGACTGATTTCCATTTTTCCAAAATAAGATACTTTATACACATCATATACATTATTCCGTGTATATATTTTGTATATAAAGTGTTATATACAGAATTCTCCATACAGAATTTTCTGAACATAAAATTATAATATGGTGGTACCTGGTATTATACCCTCTCTTCTGAATTTTCAAGAGAATTTTACATCATTATTGAGAACATCCTATACAGTATCTTGCAGGCTTCCACAGTTTGCAATAAATATACTTAGTATGAACAATTTCATTTTAAGAATTTTGAAGTGATTAGCTTCACCTGCTTGAAGTGGTAGAGACAAAAATGAAACTTCAGCAAAAGAATAAACTTCCTCTAGAGCCACTTTTAGACTTTCTACTTCTGTCATTATTACTATTATCTGTTACTGAAGTATAGTTGATTTACAATATCATGTTAGTTTCAGGTGTACAGCCCAGTAGTACAGTTTTATGTATATTGAGTATAGTCCCCTGTGCTATACAGTAGGTCCTTGTTAGTTATCTATTTTATATACAGTATAGTAGTATGTATATGTTAATCCCAACTTCCTAATTTATCTCTCCCCCCCTTTCCCCTTTCCCCTTTGGTGATCATAAGTTTGTTTTCTATGTCTGTGACTCTCTTTCTGTTTTGGAAATAAATTCATTTGTATGTTTTTTTTAGATTCCACATATAAGCAATATCATATGATGTTTGTCTTTGTCTGGCTTACTTCACTTAGTATGATAATCTCTAGGTCCATCCATGTTGCTGCCAATGGCACTATTTTATTCCTTTTTATGGCTGAGTAATATTCTATTGTGTGTGTGTGTTTATGTGTATATATATATATATATATATATATATATATATATACCACATCTTTATCCATTCATCTGTCAATGGACATTTAGGTTGCTTCCATGTCTTGGCTATTGTAAATAATGCTGTAATGAACATTGGGGTGTATATATCTTTCCAAATTATGGTTTTCTCCAGATATCTGCCCAGGAGTGTGATTGCAGGATCATACGGTAGCTCTAGTTTTAGTTTTTTAAGGAACCTCCATACCGTTCTCCATATTAGCTGAACAATTACGTTCCCACCAACAGTGTAGGAGGGTTCCCTTTTCTCCACACCCTCTTCAGCATTTGTTTTTTGTAGACTTTTTAATGACGGCCATTCTGACCCCTGTGAGGTGGTATCTCATTGTAGTTCTGATTTGCATTTCTCTAATAATTAGCAATTTTGAGCATCTTTCGATGTGACTTTTGGCCATCTGTATGTCTTCTTTGGAGAAATGTCTATTTAGATCTTCTGCCTATTTTTTTGATTGGGTTGTTCCACTTCTTATCATTATTGAGACTATGGTATTGTGCCTAGAAAGATTCTCAAGCATTGAAATGAAAGGTAGAAAGACCTTGTCAGCCACAAAGCTGTTGATACTGAACAGCCTTATTGATTCCAAATCCCAACCAACTGTAACGAGACTCCACAGAGCAAAGCTTGTTTCCAGTTTATTTATTCTTTAGCTAACCCTTTGAAACTCTCCATGAGAAGCTATTAATTGCATTTTTTCCCATTTTGATAGAATAGTTGAAACACCTATGGTTCATTACAAAGCAGTAATTGAATGAGTGGTTTAAAGGAAACTATGGACCCTCTAAATACATTGATCTAAACATACTTCAGCTGGATCCTAAACAGCCAGGAGTTCTTTTTCAAGTTATCGGTTTTCTAAGGTATGGCTGAAGTTGCGGGTGCGGAATAAATGCCACATATACATGCACCCACTCACACACATGCACACACACATGCTCACACACACATTTTTGTGGTTGACTTAAATTCTTCCTTCAGAATATGAGAAGCTAGAATAAATGACTGCACAAAAATACATTCATTTTAAATTATGAACTAGCTATAATTAATGTGAGAGCATTGTGTGGTGAATTGAATAAAAACCTTATTCTGTTGGAGTTACATTTTTCTCCTTTATAAGAAATCAAGGCATCATAAATCTGGAGGGTACTTAATATTTCCTCTTTAAAATATATTTCTATTCAAGGAATGAAACATGATGTTGGAAATCTTGTGTTTTGGTCCACGCTGGGATCTTCCGAATCCAGATATATGTTAGAGGGGGTGGGAGTGAAGATTAATTTTGTTTAACTTCCCATCTTCCATCCCCTAGGTAACCTGTAGAGAGAAAGAATGCATTTCTCTAGAGGGAGAGTTCCATGAGAGCAAAGCAAAGAAAGTATCAGGAAGAAATCATAAGTGCTAAAATTGGCTTATAAAAGATAATTTAAAGGCAGATTTTTACAAGATTCATATTTTATGGTAGTTTTTTTTTTTTAAAAAACTGCATTACGATAGCAGTCTTTGAACTTTTTTGTTCATTGACTCCCTAGAATTTTGTAGATGTATTCCTTCACACATTTTGTACTGATAGTTCAAAGTTTTAATTATAAGTGTAAATAGTTACAACTGATGCATTTTTGGCATTTAGTATTTACATTTAAAAAACAGAACTGTGACATCACTCTTTCAAATGTATTGAATGGCATTTAAATTCCATGATTCGATACCCAGTCATCCGTTTTTAAAAATACATAAGGAAGCTCTTTTCCAATATTCGAAAATTTGCCTTTTTGCTAAAGTGTAATTTTCGAGAGGTAAAACAACTCTCGTGAAGATACATAATAAAGATGGGCCAAAAATTTTATTCAACTTATTAAGAGGGAAGATACAGTGCGTCAGATATTGAGATCAGCTCAAAGAGTATTGCAGGGCCGAGGTATTTAGAGGCGATTTAACATAGGAATGTTAGGGTAAGACTGCTGGGTTATACACAAAACTGGCTAACAGCCTATAGGACAATAAAGTATATCCTTCAGCGTTGTCAGCTGTTGAGAGTGGTGATCTAGCCGGACACTCAAGGCCCACATGCTATTGTAGCAACAGGCACTGGCCACCAGCTTCATTCACCACAGGGGGGACCTGCAGGGACCGCGTGAGCAGGGGCGCCGCCGGACGGAGGAGGGAAGGCCGGTCAGCCCCGCGCGGCGTCCAGGTTGCGCACTGCGCTAAAGAGGTGGGTCGGGCTCCGGTGCGATGGGGTACCAGGGGTGGGCGGCAAGGCCCTCGGCGCCCCGCACCGGGCTCTCAGGGAAGTCCCCACGGGCGGGGTCACACCCGCACTTCTTACTAGAAAGCGCTGCGGCTCATGCGCGCTCGGCACAGTCCGGCCAGCGGCGCATGCGCGCACGCACCCGGCCCAGCCCGGTACCCCTCGGCCGCCGCTCTTGCCCTCGCCGAGCGGTGACGTCACCGGTGGCCGACGCCCGAGGAGCCGGGCCTCCGAACGCCACCGCCTCCTGCTCGCGCCCTCGCCGCAGGTGACGTCACTGGCCCCGACGAGCGGGGGGCGGGGCCTCGGGTGCCTCCGCCTCCCGCACCGCACCGTCGTTGACGGCGTTGTCATCGGGCCCCGACACGTGGTGACGCCATCAGGCCTCGACGCACGGTGAAGGGGCAGGGCGCGCGGGCGGAGCCTCAGCGGGGTCGGAGCTGAGAGGAGAAGGCGGGGAAAGGCGGCGAACTGAGGGGGATCGGGGAGGGGCGGGAAGGTGGCGGCCAGAACATGGCGGAACAGATCCCTCTGTACCCGGTGCGCAGCGCGGCGGCCGCGGCCAGCTGCAAACGTGCGGCCTACTTCAGCGCGGCGGGGCCCGGGCCGGGGGCCGAGCGGTCCAGCAGGTAACGACGGTGCCGCCCCACCGTTCCGCCCAGGCGCCCTCCCCGCCCAGCCCGGTGGGGTCCGCCCAGGGCGGCCGGCTCCGGAGCCCCGCGGGTGCGCCTGACCCGGGGAGGGCGTCCACGGTCCGGGAGGTGCCCGGGCGCTGCCACGACCCCGGTGTGCCCCGGCGCCGGGCTGAGCGCAGAGGAGGAAGAGCCTCTGGTTCGGGGGGCTGCTCCCTCAAGTAGCACTGGCACCGCAGGTCGCACGGCACCGATCACGCAAGTTGTTAGTTTCCGAGACCCGTACTGTGTCACCAGAGAAATCGCGAAGATGGCAGACACAACTTCCAGTTAGTTTTAGAAATACAAATCTTGTTGCGAATCACTTTCACAAGTGTAAAGAGCAAGTGAAGACATTTCAGTTTGTTTACTAAGTGCACGTTTTACTTGAACGTGTACATACAAAGTACTTTGTGTTGACAAGAATTTTTGCTCTTAAGAATGGGAAACGGAGATTCAGAAAGGTTAAATTGTTACAGTTAGTAAGAGGTAGAATTAAACAGTGCAGACCTTTGATTTAAAATGGAAGTCTCATACCCTAGTTGGTTTTAGTTCGTAACTTATTTCTTACCCAAAGGGAAGAATACTACACTTATAAATGATAGAGTGGTTAGAAAAAGAAACTTACAGGAAGGGGAGATAATGCTTTTCAGAGTTGTTAAAATTTTATTCCTGGGCAGTTGTAGAAGCAATCAGTCTTTAGAACATAGAGTGAAAAAGCACGGGTTTCAATATCCAGTTGCTTCAGGATTCCAGTTTTAGAATAGTTTTTGGTTTGGGCTATTTGAGAGGCTGTAACATGTAGTCAAAAGAGTACATATTATGATGCTACAGAGCTGGATTGAATCTTGGTTCATTTCCGTATTAGCTAGCTGTTTGATCTTAGGTAACCATAGGCCCTAATTTCCTCTGCTGTAAAATGGGGGGGGGCAGTATTTTTCCTCATAGAATTGTTGAGGGTTACAGGAGAAGTTAGTAAGGTGCCCATTTTTAGTGTTTGGCCCTGCAGTGAAGTATCGTTTCCTTTCTTCCCTGATATTACCTGGAAGAGTAATTGCATAGGTAATCTTCTAAGTGGTTGATTTTAGGAGATATTATTTGAAAACGTGCCACCTATTTCACAGTCGGTTTCCATCACAGTTCACATCTGTGAGTTTTTGCCTTATATATCTTAAGGCTCAGTCATTTGGTAAATACACATTTAGGATCTCTGTGTCTTCAGGGTGGATACTTCTTTTATTGTCAGGTAATATTTCTCTTTTTGTCTCTGGAAATTTTTTTTACTCTGGAGTCTACTTTAGTAGACTGGTGTAGCCACATCTGCTTTTTGTGGATAAATGTTTGCATGGTGTTAGCATTCAACCTATCTAAGTTGTTGAATTTGAAGTGAGTTTCTGTTGGGTCATGTTTCTCCATTATTCAATCCGTCAATCTCTGTCTTTTGATTGGTATGTTCAGGCCATTACATTTCAGGTAATTATTGATACATTAGAGTTTTTTATTAAGATTTTTTTTTTTTTGATGTGGACCATTTTTAAAGTCTCTATTGAATTTGTTACAATATTGCTTCTATTTTATGTTTTGGTTTTTTGGCCCTGAGGCATGTGGGATCTTGGCTCCTGACCAGAGATCGAGCCCATATCCCCCGCATTGGAAGGCAAAGTCTTAACCACTGGACCGCCAAGGAAGCAAGGAAGTCCCCGATACATTAGAGTTTAAGTGTGCCACTTTATTAATCTGTTTTCTGTTTCTTTGGATTCTCATTCTTCTGTTTCTCTTCTTACTTTCCTTTTACTTGAACGCTCTTTTGATATCGCTACAGTGTTTTTTGGTGTAGGTCTTTGTATAGTTTATATAGTGTTTGCTCTGGGTATTACAGTATATGTATGTGACTTATCACCATAGTGTATTGGTATCAGTATTTTACTATGTGGAGTGATTTGTGGAAACTTCATTTTGGTTCCTTTACCTCCCTTTTCCCCCCTGCAATTTAAATATCATGTCCTGAGTATCAGATGGTGTTATACTTTTTGTTTAAATCATCAAATATGGTTTATAAAACTTGTGATGATAAGGATAGGTTATTGTATGTACGCATATTTTTGCTCTTTTTTGTTCTTCCTTCCTGATGTTCCAGGATTCTCTTTTTTCATTTCCTTTCTATTTCAAGAACTTCCTATAGCCCATCTTGAGATTTCGTCTTAGAAGGTCTTTATTTCTCCTTTATTCCTGAAAGATAGTTTTATTGGATGTAGAATTCCTGGTCACTTCTTTTCTTAGTACTTGGAAACTCTTGTTCCACTTCCTTCCAGCCTTCATAGTTTCTGCTTAGAAGTCCACTGTCATTCCAATTGGTGTTCCCTGTAGGTAACGCATCATTTATGTCTGGCTACTTTCACGTTTTGATGTATGTTGGTATGATTTCTTTGGGTTTAACTTGTTTGGTAGTCACTGAGCTTCTTGAATCTGTTGTATTTTGTTTCCCTAAATTTAGGGAGTTTTTAGCCATTATTTCTTCAAGTCCTCTTTCATTTCCACCCCTTTCTCCTCTTCTTTCTGGACTCCAGTGATACAAATGCTGGATCTTTTGTTAGTTGTACGTAATTCCTTTAGGCTCTTTTATTTCCCAGTTTCTTTTCTCTGTGTTGTTCAGACTGCGTAAATTCTATTTACTTGTTCTCAAGTTCCCTAATTCTGTCCTCTGTCATTTTCACTCTACTATAGATCCCATCCAGTGGGGTTTTGTTTCTACTATTGTATTTTTAAGTTTTATAATTTCTTTGTTTCAAGAGAATTTGAAATTGTTTGTTGAAGCATACTTATGTTCGGTGCTTGAAATGCTTGTTACATAATTCCAGTATCTGAGTTCATCTTAGTTTTGGTGTCACTTGATTGTCTTTTCTAATTCCCACTGTCAGTGTTTTGGTTCTTTGTATGATGGATGGTTTTTGATTGTTTCCTGGATATTTCATCTATTAGGAGAATGTGGGCCCTGTTTATATCTTTTATTTTAGCAGATGATCACCCTGTTTAGATTTAGCACATAGGTCCTGGCCTACCTTTGTCGGCTGTGGTTCCAATGACAGTTTAATTCTCAGCGTTGTGATTTTTGGTGTGCGTGGTTTATGTGGTGCTACTGGAGCTCTTACTTGTCTCTACTTACGCTGCTGAGGAAAAGAAGGGATTCCCCTAGGCCCAGTGTCTTTTGGTGAGAGGTGGTTGTGTCATCCCATGTGGATGGTGAGGCTGTGTTGGCTGGGCAGTGGCTGTGGACGTGCCCCCTCCATATGTGCTCCCTGACTCTCCTGGTGTGTCTTGGTAGGAGAGGAGACTCAGCACCACTGTGGCCAGGAGGCTTTCTGTGCCCAAATCCTTTTTTCTGGTGCCCCTGGCTGCTCTGGCATCTTGGGGAAGAGGAGAGGCCATGGAGAGAAGCCATTTCCTGAGCTAGCTGCTTCAGTCACGGGGTTGCACTTGTTGGTGCTGCTGGCCGCCCCCCAGCCCGCTGAGAGAGGGGTGCCTCAGGCTCATGGGGACACGGAGGCTTCCTGAGGCCTCTAACCTCTTGCTGTGGCAGGGACCCTACCTGGTGCCACCTGGATGCCCTCGTGTCCCTGGGTGGGATAGGGGAGTCTCAGGCCCGTGGGGAAGGATGCCAATTCCCATGGCTACTTGTCAATCTTATCTTGCTGGTGGTGGACGACTCTTGTTCTGCCAGGGGAGTAATGGCCTTCCTGGGCTGCCTTTTCTTGCTAGGTTGGGAGTTAGGCAATGCCGAGCCTGTGTCCTTCCTTTTGTCCGGTGGGGGCATGTAAGACGTCCTGCCACTGTGTTCCTCCAGTTCTGCATCCCAGATCAGCCCAGCTCTCTTCCTCTCACTGCTGCCTTCTTCCCACCTTCCAGAGCTCTCCCGTGGTTGGCTCTTGCTTTATTTCCAAGGTTTATAGTTGTACTTAGGTGAGAGGAGCAGGGAGAAATGGATTGTGACTGGAAGTTGTGCTTCTGCATTATTTTGTGAAGTTTGGCTTTGGTTGTATTTTATCATGGTAACATTTACGTATAGTTTAAAAAGTTAATTGGTGGTAAAAGGCTTATGATAAGATACTGTGGCCCTCACCCCTCATCTTCATTCTCCCTTATCCCAGCCTCTCATCCCACAGGCAGTTACTTTGGACTCTTCTAGCTGTTTCTTCTGGCACTTACACATCTCCGTTATTTCAGTGGCGTTATTCCTGACTTTGTCAGCATCTGAAATGACTATTTCTAAAGGCTTCCTTGATCTCAGCCCCAGCCAGGATAAAATGGGATGCTCCTGCCAGGCTCCCGTAGGACTCTGTTTCCCCTCATACCACAGATTGCACTTGACTATAACTGCTTCTCTTCTCATTAGACTTTAAATTCCATGAATAGAGTGGCAGTGATGGTCAGATTTTACCCCTGTTACCTGGCCCCACGAGATGCGTAGGGAAATGTTCCCTTCTCTTTTACTTTCTGGAAGACATTGTGTAAAGTTGGTGTTACTTCTTTAAATATTTGCTATTTTCCAGTGAAACCATCTGGACGTGGCGATTTCTTTTTAGGGTGTTTTAATTTAAAATTCAGTTTCTTTAATAGTTATTGAGCTATTCAAATGACCTGTTTCCTATTTGGTGAGTTTTGATAGTTTGTGCCCCATGACCAATTGGTTTGTTTCAGGTAAGTTGCCGTATTTATGTGTGTAGAGTTGTTTGTAGTAGTCCCGTATTTCCCTTTTGATGTTGTTTCATTCAGGTGTTGGTGGTTTGTGCCTTCACTTCTATTTGTTGGTCGTTCCTGCTAGAGGTTTGATCTTTTCAAAGATCCATCTTTATTTTACTTATTTTTTCTATCGTTTTCTTTTTTTCAACTTCATTAATTTCTGCTCTTTATTTTTTCCTTCCTTTGCTTACATTAGGTTTATTTTTCTCTTCCTCTCATTT